TGGTAAAATATGAAAGACAGGGTCACGCCAGGTAAATAGACAAACACGTCAAGCCTTAAAATTGCGTTCGCCCATGAAGCCGCAAAAAAAAAGTAAATACCCCAAATTTCCCATAGGGAACATTTTAAACGCTTTTACCGCTCATCAGTTTAGTGCTAACAGTGATTGACAGTGATAGAATGATTGCTCTCACTGTGACGTTCACGGCGACATGTAACATGTGTAGCGCAATTGTCCTTTTATCACATAGACGCACTGACGCGTGCTTGCTCGTGGGGGGCGGGGGACTTAATTTTCTTTTGCATTTTTAACATTTTTCTTTTATGTTTTTTATGTTACTTTAATTTGTATAACTTTTAAACACTTTTTTTTTTTTTACACTAACCCTGGAAGCTGCTGAATCTCTCTCCGCACGATACAAACGATCCGGCGCCTGTACAGACGCCGGATTGCTTGTACATTAACATCCATCGCCTGCTGTTAAAAGCAGTACCAAGAACTCGGCTGCTGCAGCAGTCGTGTTCTTGTTTTAATCACTTTAACGGGCCGCGGTCTATAGACTATTGCGGCCCGGAAGTGGTTAAATAAAAGGTTGTTTTGTTTATTATATTGGCTAATTTTTACAATTCACATTATTTAAAATCTATGAACCTAATTAAAATGTCTAATATAATACATACAATTATTAAAAAGATATATATATATACCTTTTTAATAATTGTATGTATATCAATAAAAGGTGGGAAAAGTCATTTTAAGTTTCGGCCTGACAAATTTTGCTGCAGGAGGTGCGTTGCAGTGCCATTCATTTCAATGGATCCCAAATGCACCTCCCGTCCGCAGTGTGATCGCCCCCGCACTGGGACGAGCGATACTGAAAAGCCCTCCGTTACTGTGCGATAGTAATTTTTATTTTATTTTATCCGATTAACCGATTAATCGAAGTTAATAATCGGCTAACTAATCGAGTATGAAAATAATCGTTAGCATATTGAGAAATAGCATGAAAAAGCTGCTTGTTTTATGCAGTGTATAAATTGGTGTCTTGTATTATGGGGGTCATGTGATGTCACATGTGTAATATGCCTGAACATTTGCCACGTTAAATTAAATTATCCGTTTAAACCTTTTGCTATTTTTTTCATATTTTTTTATGTTTTTCACTTACAGCTTTGAATGTTGGCAAATACTTTTTTTCTCTGAAAGTAGGTTGTGGTTGCGTGTGTCTGTCAGTGCCGTTCACACTAGTACAGTGCAGTAATCGCACAGACCTGTGCGATTAACGCACTGTACCGCACAAAATCGCACCTACCGCAAATTCTGGTGTGGGAGATGTGTTGCATTGCCATTCATTTAAATGGCACCCCAACCGCACCTCCCACCCACAATTCGATCGCCCGCACCGGAACGCGCAGTACTGCAGTGCTGTGTGTTCTTTTGTGGTGCGACTTGGGTCATTAATGACCACGGTCAAATGTGGGTACTGAAGTTACACAGGTTGAGAACCACTGCTCTAAAGGATTCAGCTTTAAATCTGTAATTATTGATGTATAATTGGCCAAGTGGTATAACAGAATAATTTACAGGACTATAAATATCCTAAAATAGGGATCAAACCCTTAGATTTCGGGATATGTGATGCAAGTCAAACATAGAGATACCTTAGCAGTGGTTCACTGGAGGGCTTTTTTGGTGCTATTGAGCCCACCCCACCATAACTTGTTGGGTTAGTCTTAGTCACAAACGATTACAGACTGAGAACGTGCTTCTCACCTAGTTGAGATGATATTGTATACAAATTAAAGAGGAATTTTACCCATATTGTTGAAATTACAACAAAGACACCTTTAGAAATGTTTAGTAATGGCAATCTACACACAGATATAGCATCTCTAGATAATTGCAGGCTTTTTATTCTTTAAACACCTTATTTTTCTTTTCCTCCCCATTCTTCTCTATGTGGCCATTTTTTAAAAAAGGGCAGATTACTAGATCTCCCTTTACTTCCTGGAACTCTGGCACATGTGACTAGACATGTGACCATGCACATCATCTCAGGGGAGTGCATTGAGGCTGGCTCACTTTTTTGTGGGGCTGCAATGCGATCGGCTGCACGGGATCGCAAAGCACATTATGTCTGCGGTCCTGTCCGATCAAAATGCTGCAAACATTATTTTGATTCGATCGGACTGCAGGCATAATGTGCCTTGCAATCCCGTGCGGCCGATCGCATGTGATGCAGTGCGTTCTGGCCAGAATCGGGCCGGAACGCACTGCATCTGGTGTGAACGAGGCCTAATGCCTAAGAGGAACAGGAAGTGGAAGAACAATAATTGTTAGTAAAAGATAAATATTTGTTTAACTAATGAATGTAAGATGATTTCATATCAGCATTTAGAGCTGCACTCAGAGGTGACTTAGTGAAAGGGGGTAAAGGTCCTCTTTAGGTCAGGTTCACACCTGTACGTTTTGTAGCACGTTCAAGGCTCTACGAACGCTCTACAAAACGCTCAAACATGAAAATCCCATTGTTTTCTATGGGTATGGTTCACACCTTGCTGTATTTCAGCCCATCTGAATGCGCTACAAAACGGCCTGCGCCTGAAAAAGGTACATGAGCTTCTTTGCGGCGTTTTTGTTGCGCGTTTCCATTGGGATACAGCCAAGTAGCCCTTGGAAACGCGCGTTTGTTGCGCGTTTTTTAACGTGAATCGGAGCCTTAAATCAGAGCCTTAAGATTCTACTCCTCAACCATTAATATAATGATTATTGTCTTTTGGCAACTACTTCTTGTTTGTGCTAGTTTTTCTACCTTGGGTTTAATTAATCAGTTAGAATAGATTACAGGAGAAAACAGTCAATTATTGCTGCTGAAAAAAAACCCATAAACAAAAAAGATGCAGAAAATCACGAGCACTCCAAATTGTTTATTTCACTCTTGTTTGTGCCGATGTTTCAGTGTTTCACAGAGTCATAGGCGTCGCTATTCCTTGCACCCCTGTGTGCCCTCCCGCTGATTCCCCGATATATATCTATATATAGATATATATATAGGGTTGGCTGCAACAACTAATTAATCAGCTTTCGATTAGTTGACCCTGTTCACGGCTCCACACACGTCGCGCGCCGCACCTCCTCCCCGCCTCACGCTCACCGCCCCCCCACATCCACGATCGGCACAGGGACGCGGAAGAAGAAGTAAGGAGGGACAGGCGTGGGGGGATGACAGCGGCTGACAGACAGACTCGATCTCAGAAGCAAGTTGCTGGAACACTGCTCCAGTAAGCCTGCACTTTCCCCCACATGGTGCTCTATAATGTATTGCTGGGATAGTGGTATTTGTATTCCTTTATAGCTGACTGTACATTGTGCTGTATATTATACAGAGCAACGTACCATCAGCTATAGAAGAATACAAATCCCAGCAATACATTATGTATTGCTGGGATTTGTTGTATTCCTCTAAAGCTGGTGGTATTCTGCATTGCGCTGTGTAATATATTATTGCTGGGATTTGTTGTACTCCTCTATAGCTGATGGTATTCTGCATTGCGCTGTATAGAGGACTACAAATCCCAGCAATAGTACATTATACAGCGCAATGCAGAATACCACCAGCTATAGAGGACTACAAAACCCAGCAATAGTACATTATGCAGCGCAATGCAGAATACCGCCAGCTATAATGTACTATTGCAGGGATTTGTAGTCCTCTATAACCAGTGCCATTCCGCATTGATTGATTGCTGTATAATTTTACATTTCACTATATTGCACACCATACTTTTTTTTTAACTTCCACCACTCCAAGCTTGCTCCTGTGATAGACTGTAATCTCAAAACAAACTAGTAGTCCATCACTGGAGCCATTTTATTAATCCCGATTAACCGAACGTAATAATCGGCTAACTAATCGATTTTGAAAATAATCGTTAGCTGCATCTCTCTCTCTCTCTCTCTCTCTCTCTCTCTCTCTCTCTCTCTCTCTCGCCTACCCTGGACTATCTTATGGTCCAGACTTTCAAAACATTATATCCAGTGCTTTTCTCGTCTATTTATGCTTAGTGGCCTTTAAACCCTTACTGCTTGGGGTATTATGTTGAACTGCTGGTTTCTTGACCAAATCCATCATCATTTATTAATTATCCATATCCTTTTGTCTGTTTGTATTTTCTTTCTGTCACACAATCCTATTTTCATTGTTAGGGATACAGCTCACAAAATCTGTTCTTTGTCATCATCTTTTATTTCTCTTGAGCACTTTGTTATTCACTTGTTTCAATTGTGAAATGTCCCTCACCTCTGGTTCCTTTGAGATACATTCATTTTAGGAATGTCACTAAAGATCTGCTTGTCTTATAGTCACACCTTGGAACACTTTCCTCTACTCTCCTGTCAATATTGCAGGTTACCCTTGCAGTCTTGGAACCTGATAGCCAATGTGAAAGGCTATACATTTTTCATGATTGTAATGTGACAGTCTCTTACTGGTTTTGTCCAGCTAAAACTCTGAGTCTACAGACTGCATGATTTGAGGCCTGCCAGGCAGCAGTGCTTATAGAGATTAGTTAGGACTCAGGTTGGGCACATATATTTGTTTTTCTTAAATGCAGTATTGCTATAACTGTTTACTTTAGGATCAAGACATGGTATACGCTATAGTACAATAGTATTATTGGTATATGTACTGTATGCATGTGTTGATGAATGTAAACTAATGAATGGATTGGAGATGGCTTTTAGGATGTTAAATGTTTGACTGTGTTTATCCATGTCATAATGTGCAATGTGCTGCACATGTGAACATAACATATATTTAGGGTGTTTAAATGCAATTTCTTGTGGCCTAAACATTATTTTAAGCTGTATTAAAAAGATGGTGGTCATGTATTTACTGACATGTCCAGCTTCAACTGCAGTTTTTAGTCCCTTTCACACTATTTTATGTAGCATGTATGCATAACAGGAGCATGTATCACAGATGCCCTTCTTCTCTACAGAAAATCCAGCAGCTCTCTGAAGGATCAATGTTTGGACATGGACTGAAGCATCTCTTTCATAGCCGACGACGTTCAAGAGAGCGAGATCACCAGGCTTCTGCAGAACCCCAGGTTACCTGCTCAACGCCAGGTCCTCAAACCCTGCATGCATCCCAAGCTGCCCCTTTATCATCATCTGATCATGACTCTGCAGATGAAAAAGAGCGATCTCCAGAAATGCACCGAGTGTCTTATGCTGTTTCTTTGCATGATCTGCCAGCACGTCCAACTGCCTTTAACCGTGTTTTGCAACAAATTCGCTCACGTCCTTCTGTAAAGAGAGGATCTGGACAGCACGGGGGTGGCCGACGGAGCAAGAGTGGACCTGGGGAAACTGCTCATCATCACCATCACTCACAATTGCGTGGAGGTAGTCCTCACCTTCCCCGCCGTCCTCTACCAATGGATGGTGGATTAGCTGCAGTATTACACCATCACCAAGGCAGACCACGTTCTTCCTCTACTACTGATGCTGCACTTTTAGCTGGAGGTGATATAGCTGGTGCTGGCAGTTTTGCACATGAGGACCAGGAGAGAGCAGCAGAAAAGGTATGAAAGACATTAATCATAAACTGTAATAAAATGTGTAATACGTGCACAGACTAAGAAAGAGTGAATCCAGATAATAGTGAGTGAGTCTAGACAATAGTTTGAGTCTAAGGGGTCTATTCACCAAGCTGCCGAGGGCAGCCGAGTGAATGACCGATCTGAAGTGAAAGTTGTTTACAGACCTCAAAAGCTCAAGCTGAAATTTACATAAAGATGTGCATAACTCCTTCCAGTAATCCATCCCTTCTCAGTCCAAAGTCTCTTTTGCCCCCATAAGGCAGGCAGTCCCTTCTGTGTTGTCTTCATAGTGAATCTATAGTTCTCTGGAATCCTTTATCATGTATTACATGTTTATTTGTGAACAAATATTCTATGTGTTTTGATTCAGAATAACATACAAACAACCATTTAAAAATGTATAAACCAAATCTAAACTAAACAACACTTGACTTAAAACATTATAGTTTTCCTTTAGCAGATCATAATATTATACTGTGTTGCCAGATGTGCATTTTATTTCCTAGCTTTACCCAGATGCTGCAGTCATTATCGTTACATCTTACTGTTTCCTTTAGTTTTTTTTAGATTTTTGATGTTATGGTGAATGTAGCTTGAAGAATGAGACTCTGTGGTGATGTTCATGATGAATAATTATTATTATTATACAAGATTTATATAGCGCCAACAGTTTGTGCAGCACTTTACAATATAAGGAAGACATCACAATACAATTCAAGACAAGATGGTAAGGAGGGCCCTGCCCCTGAGTGCTTACAATCTAAAAGGGAGGAGGAAGTGATACATGAGGAGGTAGCTGTGTGGGAATTAATTGTTTGAGAATGTGATGGTTCAGTGGTTAGGTTGAGGGGGGATAATTGGTTTCTGTGCACTAAAGCACATTGTTTTCCGCTTATTACATGAGCCTGGCTTATACAAAGCTTTAGCAGTGTGAAGTGGGAGACAGATGAGAGTAGTGGATGCGAGACTGAAAAGGATTTTGGAAATAGAAGACGACTATATATAGGGCTGCAACACACTAATCGATTATGAGAATAGTTATCAACTATTCTCATTAACGAATAGTTGGTTAGATCCCCTAGCCCTCTCCTCCATGCTGGGAAAAGGGCACAGCAAGCAATGGGTGGGTGCAATAGCCAGCCTGCTATTGGCTATTGCAACTTGAAATGTCCAATAGCAGGCTGGATATTGCATCAGCCTGTTGTATTTACATTTAGCTTCCGTCTGCAGAATCTTGCCACTGGCAGCTGTCCTTCCCTGGCTGAAGCAATTTAAGTGCCATGTGCTTACAATACAATTATTAAAAATGTTTTTTGATAAAAGGTGGGGAAAATGTGTGGAAATCACTCATCTCATAGTTCTCCTTTAAGGGGTGACATGATCACCATGTATAAATACATAAATGGTCCATATAGTGAGCTTGGTGCCAAATTATTCACTTTAAGGTCACTACAAAAGGACAAGGGGGCACCCTTTGCATCTGGAGGAAAAGATGTTTAACCTTTGCAAGGATTTTTCACAGTTAGAGCAGTGAAAATGTAGAATAGACTCCCCCAGGAGCTAGTTCTAGCTAGCTCACTTAATTGTTTAAAAAAAAATCTGGATGTATTCCTAAATGCACTGAATATTACTGGATATTGAGTTTTTATAGGTATATTAAGCACCAGAGATTGTTGATCCAGAGAATATTCAATTGCCTTATGGCATCAGGAATGAATTTATTTCCCCTGTTGGAGCAAATACAACCATGTTTTATAGGGGTTTTTTGCCTTCCTCTGGATCAACAGGGGGTAATTGTGGACATAGTGTTCTGTTTAGGCTTTTCTTCTTTTTTTTTTTTTTCCATACCTCTATAGGTTGAACTCAATGGACTTTTTCAACCTGACTAATCACGTAACTATGTATGCAATGCCGTGTGTTCCAGTGCAGTGTGATTGCAAAACAATTTGCATACAGTTCTATTCTGAACACTGCATTTGTGTATTTCATTTTAAATTAGGGATGGTATTTAATTTTTCTTTATGCGATTAATCGAAAAAGTAATCAGCCAACTAGTCAATTATGAAAATAATTATTAGTTGTAGCCCTACTTCAGAATACATGTATATGTAAAATGTATTTTATTGTGCATTATGGGGGGAGAGCAAGAGAGAATCGGCGGTTCTAACGAAGCCGGCGTTAAAGGAAGCGAGGTGGCAGCGGAGGGAGCATAAGCCGATGCTTCCTCTATAGCATTGGCTCCTGTCACAGGCGGAGTGATACCAAATGCACTCCCCCTGTGAGGAAATG